GGTCCTGTGCCATTCTGACAGTCATTGCTGTGATGAGCCCACTGTTGCAGTTACTGTGTCAGTCCATCTTGTTGAGGGTCTTCCTCTTTTTCACTTACCCTGTACTTTACCAAGCTTGATGTCCTTCTCTAGGAACTGTTCCCTTCCTGGTAACATGTCCAAAGTATGTGAGACAGAGTTTCACCATTGTCACTTCCAAGGAGCATTCTTGCTGTATTGCTTTCAAGACAGATTTATTCGTTCTTCTGGAAGTCCGTGGTATATTCAGTATTCTTCGTCAACACCATAATTCAAATGAATCAGTTTTTCTTCAGTCTTCCTTACTCATCATCCAGCTTTCACATGTATATGAGACGATCGAAAATAACAAGTGAAAATACCATGGCTTGGGTCAGGCGCACCTTAGTCCTCAAAGTGACATCTTTGCTTTTTAACACTTTAAAAAGATTTTAGCAGCATAAGAGCCCTGGTAACGTAGTGGTTAAGAGGTTAGCTGCTAACCAAATGGTTGGCAGTCTGAATCCACCTGGTGCTCCTTGGAAACTGTATGGGGCTGTTCTACTATGACCTGGAGGGTCGCTTTGAGTTGGAATCGACTTGACGGCAATGGGTTTCTTTTTTGGTTTTTGCAGCAGATTTACCCAGTGCAATACGTCGTTTGATTTTTTGAGTGCTATTTCCGTGGGCATTGATTGTGGATCCAAGTAAAATGAAATCCTTTACAACTTTAATATTTTCTCCGTTTATCATGATGTTGCTTATTGGACCAGTGTGAGGATTTTTGTTTTATGTTGCGGTGTAATCCATAGTGAAGGCTGTAGTCTTTGATCTTTATCAGTAAGTGCTTCAAATCATCTTTGCTTTCAGCAAGCAAGCTTGTGTCATCTGCATATTGCAGGTTGTTAATGAGTCTTCCTCTAGTTCTGATGCTGCGTTCTTTATATAGGACACCTTCTTGGATTATTTGCTCACCATACAGATAGAGTAAGTATGGTGAAAAGACACAACCCTGACACACAACTTTCCTGATTTTAAACTTTAATATTATTGTCAGTTCTTCCCAACTTGATCAATGCAATCCCAATCAAAATCCCAGCAAGTTATTTTGTAGATATTGACAAACTGATTCTAACATTTATATAGGAAGGGAAAGACCCAGCATAGCCCACACAATACTGAAGAAGACAAGAGTTGGAGGACTGACACTACCTGACTTCAAGATTTAGTATAAAGCTACACTGATCAAGACAGTGTGGTATTGTTAAAGGAATAGACAAATAGATCCGTGGGACAGAATATAGAGCCCAGAAATAGACTCACACAAATATAGTCAACTGATCTTTGACAAAGGAGCAAAGGAATTTCAGTGAGAGAAGAAGTCTTTTCAATAAATGATGCTGGAACAACTGAACAACAGCAAAAAAAAAAAAAAAACTAGACAGAGACCTTACATCATTCACAAAAATTAACTTAAAATGGACCATAGACCTATTTATAAGATGCAAAACTGTGCAGCTTCTAGAAGAAAACATTGGAGAAAATCTAGGTGACCTTGAATTCATTTGATGATGACTTTTTAGATACAACGTCAAAAGCATGCTCCATAAAACAAAAAAATTGATAAGCTGTGCTGCATTAAAATTAAAAACTTATACTCTAAAAGCACTATTAAGAGAATGAAAAGACAAGCCACAGACTGGGAGAAAATATTTGCTAAACACATATATGGTAAAGGACTTGTTTCCAGAATATACAACCTGTAAAAAAGAAACCTATTGCCGTCAAGTCGATTCCAACTCAAAGCGACCCTATAGGACATAGTAGAACTGCCCCATACAGTTTCCAAGGAGGATTCAGACTGCCGACCTTTTGGTTAGCAGTTGTAGCTCTTAACTGCTACGCCATCAGGGTTTCCAAAATACACAAAGAACTCTTAAAACTCTACAATAAGAAAACACATTACCCAGTTACAAAATGGGCAAAAGATTTGAACAGAAACTTCATCAGAGAAGATATACAGATGGCAAATAAGCATATGGTAAGATGCTCAACATCATATATTACAGAATTGAAATTCAGAACAACAGTGCAACCTATTAGACAACAGAAAACAATACCATACCTATTAGAATGGCTAAAATCCAAAACACTGAGAACAATAAATGCTGACAAAGATGTGGGACAATAGAAACTCTCGTTCATTGCTGGTGGGAATACAAAATGGTACAGACACTTTGGAAGACAGTCTGGAAATTCTTACAAAACTAAATATAGGCTTACTATAAAATCCAGCAGCTGCACTCCTTAGGTATTTACCCAGATGAGTTGAAAACTTAAATCCACATAAAAATCTGCACACAAATGTTTGTAGCAACTTTATTCGTAATTATAAAATATTGGAAGTAACCAAGGTGTCCTTCAATGGTGAATGAATAAACAAAACAGTGGTACATTCATACAATGGAGTATTATTCAGTAATAAAAAGAAGTGGGCTATCAAACCATGAAAATACATGGAGGAACCTTAAATGCATATTGCTAAGTGAAGGAAGCCAGCCTGCAAAAGCTACATACTGTATGATTCCACCTATATGGCATTTTGGAAAAAGCAAAACTCTAAACGTAGTGTGAAGAAATCAGTGGTTGCCAAGGGCTCAGGAGGAGTGGACAGGGATGAATAGGTGGAGACAGGGCATTTTTGTTGTTGTTGTTAGCTACCATCAAGTTGACCCCACGTACAACAGAACAAAATGCTGTCTGGTCCAGTGCCATCCCCCGGATTGGTTGCTGATTTTAAAAGGTAGGTCACTAGGACCTTCTACTTAGTCCATCTCAGTATGGAAGCTGTGCTGAAACCTGTTCAACATCATAGCAACACGCAAGCCTCCACTGACAGACGGGTAGTGGCTATGCACGAGATGCACTGGCCGGGAATTGAACCCAGGTCTTGCACATGGAAGGTGAGAATTCTACCAATAAGCCACCACTGCCCCCACAGGGCATTTTTAGGGCAATGAAAGTATTCTGTATGATACTGTAATGGTGGACACATTACGTTATGCATCTGTCAGAATCCATAGGACAGTACAACACAAGTTGTGAACCTCAGAGGTTCTTCAGAAAACAGTCCTGGTGATCTGCTTCCAAAAGGTCACAGCCTTGAAAACTCTTGTGGAGCCGAAAACCCTACTCTGCACATGGGGTTGCCATGAGTTGGAATTGACTTGACAGCACCTAACAATAACAACAGTGATGAAAAGTATGGAGTCCCTGGATTGTGCAAATGGTTAATGCATTCAGGTGCTAACAAAAAGGTTGACAGGTCAAGTCCATCCAGAGATGCTTCGGAAGAAACGCCTAGCAATCTACTTCAGTAAAACCAGCCTTTGAACCCTATGGAACCCTGACACACATGGAGTTGCTATGAGTCTGAATGGACTTGCTGGCAACTGGTTTTAATGTAAACTATGAGCTTTTGTTAATAATAATATATCAATATTGGTTCATCAATTGTAACAAACATACCTTAGAAAGCAAGATATTAATAATAGATGAAACAGTGTGCAGGGGAGAGGGGAATATGGGGGAACCCTGTCTACTTTCTGCACAATTTTTCTGTAAACCTAAAATTTCTCTTAAAAAAAAAAAAAAAAAAAAAAACTATTTAAAAATAAATAAATAACAGGTATTGGGCCAGATTTGGCCTGTGAGTCACGGTTTGCCAACCTCTGGTTTAACCTAAAAATGGAGAAATTCAAAAGTCCAAAAAAGGAATAAATTTTGCAATTATAGTTGATAATCTGGATAGCAATGTTAAATTTCTAGCCATTTATATTTTAATTTTTCTGGATATTAGAGCTATACATTTTTGTGTTGTGTTTATATTTTGCAGACAGTCGACATTCATAAAGAGAAAGTTGCAAGAAGAGAAATTGGTATTTTGACTACCAATAAAAACACTTCAAGGACACATAAGATTATTGCCCCAGCCAACCTTGAACGACCAGTTCGTTACATTAGAAAACCTATTGACTATACAATTCTAGATGATATTGGACATGGAGTAAAGGTAGGTATACTTTTTGTCAAGCTTTTAAGAACAGTAACCCATAATGAAACTAAGTCTTTAGAAAATTAAGCTTTTATCTTTCCTTCCTTAGAAGACCAAGCCTTGGCCCACTTGTGGCTCTGAGGATTCCTTGCTGCTATAACTTTTTTCCCTTTTACTTTTTCTTGGTGCTGTGTTCTCAAGTTTTAAATCAGTTATCTTTGAGTGAATTACATTGCTTAATCAGTTATAATAATACCTTATCTAGGGCTGGTAAATAAATGTGATGTAACCTTTCTAATCTTTTAATGATTTAACAAGACTGATTAAAAAAGTATTCAGTTTATTATTATTTACCTTACCTCAAAAATTTATCAGCAGATTTTTGACGTTAGTTTTTAGAAACAGCATATATAAATAAACGTGCTTTGAATTTCTCAAAAATATTTTTATCTCAAGTTTTTGGTGTAATAAAAGTATAGATAAAATTATGAATTAATATTTCTACTGCTTTTGAGTATATAGTCATTATATATTTTGACTATCTTAAAATGTATTTGAGTGCCTAGTGTGTATATAAAGTACCATAATCAAAAGTGAGAGGCATATAAATTTCATTTAAATTGGTGTTTGCACTTAAGAAACTATTCAGAGCTTCAGCCAGGTATTGAGTTATTTAAAATTTACATTTGATCGGTAATTTGGAAGATAATGATTTATCAAATGTGACTTTGAATATATAATATATATGCCTATAGATGAAATTTAACACACTATACAGTTCATGCAGTTGACTTATTTTTGACATAAGCATATTATACTATAAAAATTAATGCTTATATAATAAGTATATACTACTTATATTAATAATACTAATTGAAGCATGCTGCACTATTATGGCTGAAATTAGTTGAGATCTAAGTTTAATGTAGATCAGGTAAAAAAATGTACAGTGTAAATTTATTTTTTAAATCTCATTTTTCCTCATAGTTTGGATATAAGCACTGTTATCTAGAATTTGATATTTAATTTTATAATTGATACCTACATGCATTTAAATTACTGTACTAATTAGAGCATGTTAAAATAGGATGTGTAATTGGATGGATAATTAATAACTGAAATTTATTCTAACTTGGGAAAATCTTTTGAGATTTATTCAAGGCAAACAGCTGCTAATAGAATATTTTAGGGTACTGACAGAAAAGCACATAGAATATAAAACATATTTGTGCTTGCCTGCTTATATAATAAAAAGATGATCCCCCCCCCCAATTCTTGCTTAAATCCTCAAAATAAAATGTTATTCAATACTTCGGAACTCAGTATCCCCTTCATTTTTGGACTTTTAGTGTTTAGGGGTCACTACTTTGAAGAAATCTTTAATAAAATTAAGATTTTGAATAAAACGGTATCTGAAATAATTCATCAAAAAAAAAATCTCCTGTTCATAACACATTCTGCTTTAACCACTCTTTCTGTGATCTACTGAAACATTGTTTTGTTAATGCTGAATGCTTAACTTGTTTTTTGTTTTTTTCCTTTCTCTTCACATCCTGAAGTTCCAACTAACCTTTCAATGCTTTTTTTCCTTACCCTTTTATTTGCTCCATTTATGCATTAAGTGGTTGCTTAGATTTAAGGTAAGAGATTCCAGGGCTGGATTTCCATTCTTTGTTCTTATGTAGAGTATTACATATGGGGAGTGAAGATATATTTGGCACTTGGCCTTTTAAAACCAATGAGTAATTCCTCTTCTTATTTTTGTCATGCAACTTTATGGTGTATCCTCATGTTCTCTGAGGACAGATATTTTTGTCTGTTTTGTTCACTGCTCTATGCTTTGTACCTAGAACAGTGCCTGGCACATGTTAAGTACTCAGTAAATACATTGACTAAATGGTTATTTTGAAATGTTAATATGTTTTGTGAAACTGAAGTGCAAGTTACCCTGTCATAAAATCTTTACTGTGAAATAAAATTGATTGGATTTTTGTAAATGTAGAAATTTTGTTATGGATTGGAGGGCCAACTGATGTGCTTCATTTAACCCTCCCCCTGTGTAATAGCCTTTTTATTCTATAAATGGTGTGCTTTATTATACACCTTGTGGCCAGTATGTCATTATCTCTTGACTCTTAATGAATGTAAAGAAATTGAGAAGCAGAAAATATTTAGTTTTATTTTTTTTAAATTGCAGTATCGTATATTTTGCACAAAAATGTCCTTTTTTTCAAATTGCTCTATAAAATATACTTTTTAATATAAACTCCCTTTAAGAGTCTTTAAGCTGAGTATTAATTTTATGTAAAACATCAAAAGTTCATGGTAGTGTTTAATAAAATACAAGTTTAAGAATAGGGTAATATTTCCTTTTGTGATCAATTTTGATAACATTTTAATATTCTTATAGGATTAATGGTAAAAGAAATTCAGCTATATTCAAGAAGCCTATCAAATAGAATATTAGTAAATTTATATTCACCACACTTAGCATGTATTCTTTTTTTTCTTGGCCAAATTTTATGATTTTTCTTTTTTAAATATATATTCTTTTCCATCTAACACCTGTTGATTCCATGTCTCTAGTGTAGAAAGTTATAACTAGAAGATGTCTGAGATCTGAATCCTTAACTAGTGTCTCATAGTTTCCTATGGCTGCTATGACAGAATACCATAAAGTGGGTGGCTTATAAAAACAGAAATATATTCTCACAGTTCTGAAGGCCAGAAGCCCAAATGAGGGTACTAGCTGTGTTGATTCCTTCTGAGGGCTTTGAGAGAGGAACTGTTCCATGCATCTCTCCTAGTTTTGTATAGCTTTCAGCATTCCTTGGCATTCCTTGGCTTGTGGATGCATCCTCATGTGGCATCTTCCCCCTCTCTGACTCTCTGTCTCTTCTCCTCTTATCAGACACCACTCAGATGGGATTAGGTCCCACTCTATTGCAGTATGACCCCATGTTAGCTGATAAAATCTTCATAGGTCATGTTCACAGGTACCAGAGGTTAGGACTTACACATATCTTTTGTGGGGACACAATTTCATCCATAACAACTAGCTGCAAACCATGGCCACAGAGAATTAACCAGGTTCATGGGAGAGAGATCTGACTAGATGAGCCCAGGCAAATGTACTCCTGGTGTTATTAACTTGGGCCTTGGCTCTAAACCCTCAGTCTTGGTGAGTGAGGCTTTACCATGTGGAGCTGTGGGGAGATTTCTTTTGCTTAAAATAGGTAGGTTTCAGTGAACTAGACCAAAAGTGGGCTGTGTGGCCACCTGGGCTCTTTTCCCCCTAAAGTCTGTATTCAGATCTTGGCTATTGATGTGTTACCTACAAAGTGATAAGAAGTGCACAGAAAGATTAATTAAAGAAAAAACACAGAATTGGATAAAATCTTTTTCCCCCTAAAGTTTAGACCACCTTTCCTAAGCTTCACTGCTTTATGTCCATTTCCTCTATACCCTGCTATGATTCTTGACCTCCTGAGTTAAGAATCTGTTCCCATGTGGGAGATCGACCAAGCTGAGTGGGAAATGAAAGCCCCTAATAAAGAAGGATATAACGAGGAGACATCACACTTAGATAAGAGCCCTTAATATCTTTGCACCAAAAAGCTTCTTTCCTGAGTACTGTGGCTCTATATAGGTGTTTTTCCTATTTAGTGGTGGAGTTGGCAGGTTGAGGAGAGTATCCTGAGTTCTATTCTAGAAACTAGAATGTGCTAGTACTCTGCCTTTCCTTCCCCACCCCCCCTTTTTGTGACTGTTTTGGTCGTCTCTATAAACTTGTGGCACATAGTTAATTTTGGTTGAACTCAAACCAAGTATGGTGAAAAAAAAATCAGAATATAGCAAATCATTCCTCTTCTTATGCTGGTAAAAAAAAAATTAGTGGGTTTGGAAGGGTGATTTATGGAATAATTGAATTTGTTAAGATAGAGATTAAAATTGAAGACTGTTAAAGTTGGAAGGGATTGCAAATATAAACTAGTCCAGTGGTTTTCCAACTGAACTTCTTGGAGACCTGCAGATTCTATCGAGTGCCTTAGAAGTCTCCAGATGGTAGATAGAATTATGGGTTCCTTATCCTTAAAGCATATTTAAAGACCTAAACCTTTTTCCTTCTACTTCTTTTTTTTTTAATTGTACTTTAGGTGAAAGTTTATAGCTCAAGTAAATATACAAAAATTTATACACCTTGTTTTGTGACATTAGTTGCAATCCCCACAGTGTGACAGCACAATCTTCCTCTCCACCCCAGGTTCCCCATGTCCATTTGACCAGTTCCTGTCCCTTGCGCCTTCTCATCCTGCCTCTGGACAGGAGCCGCCCATTTGGTCTCGTGTATCCGATTGAACTAAGAAGCACACTCCTCACGTGCATTATTTTTTGTTCTATAAAACCAAAAAAACCCCACTGCTGTCGAGTTAATTCCAACTCATAGATCTCTATAGGACAGAGTAGAACTGCCCCATAGGGTTTCCAAGGAGCGGCTGGTGGATTTGAACCGCCGACCTTTTGGTTAGCAGCTGTAGCTCTTAACCACTATGCCACCAGAGTTTCCTCTTTGTTCTAATAGTCCTGTCTAATCTTTGTCTGAAGAGTAGGCTTCGGGAATGGTCTCAGTTCTGGGTTAACAGAGTGTCTAGGGTCCAGAGTTTTGGGGAAGGGCTTGGTTCCTCCAGTCTTTGTTCGACCATTGAGTCTGGTCTTTTTATGTGAATTTGAGGTCTGCTCTACACTTTGCTCCTGCTCTGTCTCATACTCTGTGTTGTGTTCCCTGTCTGGGTGGTCATTGGTGGTAGCTGGGCACTATCTAGTTCTTCTGGTCTTAGCCTGGTGGAATCTTTGGTTAATGTGGTCCTTTAGTCTCTTGGGCTAGTATTTTCCTTGTGTCTTTGGTGTTCTTCATTCTTCCTTCAACTTCTGCTACCATTATCTCCTCTTCAGCTCTTAGTGAGCTCTGTCTTTGCTGGCAGACTCTTGATACCAACCATGACCTTTCAGACTGACTC